ATCTCGATGCAGCTCGAGTTCCTGAAGGGGAACGTCTCTAGGTTACGTATGTAACCATGGTTCCCCGAGGGAACGAGACGCTGCGTCTCTTTGCCATACTCCCTGCATCCCTCCAGGCGCTACTTCATCGAAGCTGGTTTGCGCTCTGCCGGATGCGCTTTTATACTTTCTGGTGCTTACGTCACCCCGCTCGTGACGTCTCGCTACTCCATTGGACTGATTTGACACGTGCTTCAGAACGCGGTCACGCAGGGGCGTTCCCAAAGCGACTTCGACGCAGCATCTCGTTCCCTCGGGGAACCATGGTTACATACGTAACCTAGAGACGTTCATCTGTAGATTATTGGCAATATCAAACCAGCATAAGAACTTGACGCTCCATTCTAGGGCGCCACTTAACAAGCAGTTGTTCCAATCATTATGAGCTACTGAGTCACACAGCACGGCGGGAGACTAATTAATCGATCAAACTTGGGTAAAAAGCTGGTTAGAAGGAGATGATGATGATGATGATGATGATGAAATGAACAGACTGTGAGTTTCATCACAGTGGAAATTTTTTAGACAAAGACTAATAACTCATGTTTTTCATGCACTTAACAGATATTTAATTTAAGTTATATGAGAAATAGTTTTATGAACAGAAAACAGCATTAGGCATTAAAGGATGTATTGTGCACAGCTCAGTACAAATCTTCCTTTGGTTTAAAGAGGACTAACAGCTAATCACATTAATAGGCAAAAAATACAGTGTCTGCTCTGTGCCGAGGCTACACCGTACGACTAGGCAAGTAAATTGGATTCTGAATTCTTCTATAAATACCTTTTTAATTAGTTGAGCAAGAAGTATCTGCCAACAATACTTAATCCTTAAGTCTAACTAAACTAAGGGGATCAGAATTTAAAAACAACAATGACTAAATAATAAACTTCACTCAAGATCTGTTTGCCTAACATAAATCAGCACTAATATGGTTTTCTAAAGTGCCTGTGAAGACACCGGAGAGTTCGGTAAATGCTTGAATAAGGTTAAAGAAAACCTAAGATACTATTTAGGGTACCATTAGGCAATATGGAATAAGACAAGACGATTTAACCAACATTATGTGAAGTTTTCAACATAAAGTGCTTGTTTAACAGAACAGCCTAAAAACCAAAACAAAACACAAGCATCATTTACTTCATTTATTATAATAAATATATTGTATATACACTAATTTAACATGAGTACAATTCATATGTACAAACAAACTATAATAGACTGTTTTTCAGAACACACCTAAGGCCTATTTTCAAGAATACAAGCAGTCAAACATGGGCCATCTTCAGAAACATAAACCGACAGCTTGCAGAAGTAGGCTACTAACAAGAATATCTTGGTGTGAGTCCTCAGGAGGTCAGAACCACTATGAGCAACCTTAAATATGTCACCTATATATATATATATATATAAACTGTGAAACAAATACCTGTTTAATATGCACAACCCACTGATGCTGTCAGAGGGTCACAAAAGTTGTAATCTTCAGGTTGTAGATCTTCGCCGAAGGATGAAACAGCCAGTTATGATATGTCAAAAGAGTGGCAAATAATTTAGAATTCAAATTGTAGCTTAAATGTGCTAAAATAAAAGCTTTTATGTGACAGTCCCACTTTTGATTGTGCTCTGTCCAGTTTTTACCTTCATGGGTTGAGGAAGCAGTCATGGAAGAGTTTTTATTCCTTTTGGCTATTCCCTTTAAACACTGATGCATTTTACTAATACCCATGGAGGTGATGTGCTTATCTCCACACCAAGAGCATCATACTTTAAATTACCTGAACAATTTCACAGTCCTACCATAGCAACGTGTTGCTTCCTCCATAAGAAAATCTAAAGCCCTGAGCCACTGTCATCCAGATAGACTATCTTCATCCATTATAGATTAATCACCAGATACCCCAGAATTCCAGCTATGAGCAAAACAACGGTGAAAATGATCCCTGCAAATACTTTCATCAACCCAGTTTCACCTTCCACCGTTTCCTTGGGTTCCTCCTCGCAGATCGAGATGACACCAACCGATGAATTCCCAACACTGACGGTGGATTTCAACTCGGCTCCCGCCTCTTGTTTCGCCTCGACTGCCCACGGCGCCACCTGGACCTTCATCTCCATCTCCTCCATCATCTGGTCCACCTGAGCGATCTCGGTCTCCAGCTCTTTGAGGTCCACCGTGTCGATGTTCGCGTCGGCTTCGTACTTCATGTTTTGGACGCTCATGGCTCGAGCCGCCACGGTAGTGGTGCTGCCGGTCATTCCCGTCTGGATGAGGTGTCTCGTTGGCACTTTGAGAGGAAAATCCTGCCCGATCTCCAAGGATCGCTTCATGTCCACCTCCAGGAGCTCCATGCTGCTGGTGAAGAGCACCCAGAGGCGCTCGTATTCGGCTCGATCATCTTTGCTGATGCTTTTGTCCTTCAGAAGAGCCGTGAGCTTAGTCCTGTTGGCCACGGCCAGCTCCTGGGCTTTCTTTCGGGTCTTTTTAAGTTCCTCTCGGAGGTTTTGGGAATCAGATGTGCTCCCCAAAGCGATGACCAGATGCCTGTAGCAGGCTGTGACTTTGTTCAGCGCGTCCAACATGGTCTTGCATTCGTCTTTGCCCATGTTTGCGTGGAGACACGGATAAATTTTTCACTGAAAATCCACAAAACAGCCCGAGGCTAGTGAAAAACACGCTGGATGATAGTGTCTTTTAGTTTCCACGGGAGCAGAGCAGCCATACGAGTGCACTCATCATCATCATCATCATTATCGCTCTCGTCATTGCAAATTCCTCACCATCCATGTTCCCTGTTGATGCAGACAGACAGCAGCAGTCGGGCTTTAGTTGCGCTCCCGGAGATTAGAAGGCTTCAGTATGTCCGTATGAATTTAAAACGTCGCCTCTCTTCTTCTTTTTGCGCAACGTGCATGCCATTTGAAACATAACAGGTGTTCATTTTAAAACTCCAAACAGAACGTCTACCTCCATGACGTCACAAAGGCATTCCGAGAGAGCAATGTAAACGGATTATCCGAAGGCGGAATGTAAACAAACGCCCGAACGTTCTAAACGCGCCGGAGCTGTTCTCGTGTAATGTTTGTCGGTGTCGGTGATGATGCTGATAGTGATGGTGGTGATGGTGATGCTGATGCTGAGATTTTCAGAAGGCAGCAGCAATCCGTTATTCGCTTGTCATCGGTGATACGAGCTTAAATACGAGTAAACGCTTGCCAGAGAAATAACCAGTCTAGCACTCGCATCCTGGAAGATCAGCCAAACCTGTCGTGATTGGTTGGCCGATACCATTTGATACCGTTTTTATAGGTCTCTCAAAAGTATAAGTTTGGAGATTTGTTTTTGATAGGCTAGCCTACACCAACAGCTTTGTTATATTATTTAAAAAATGCTTTCATATAACATAATATAGAATATAGTAGTCTATTAACCGTTTTAAGCTTCTGTTTTGTACTCTGCATGATACCTTTCCACAGTAAATGTTTTGTAGTGAAGGAACAGGTGGCAGTGCTACCTTTTAAAAAAAAAGAACATGCAGTCCAATATTTAATAAGAGCTGATATTCATAAACCATTACACTGATGGCATGGCTGAAAAGGTCTGTTTTAAATATAGTTGTTCCTTTACTAATTTAGATTCCTCTCAAGTAGTTTTGGAACACCTTACAACTTTAGCTAGTGTTGATACTGAGTGGATTATAGGGTTTATTTTGTTAACAAGCAACGCTTACAGGAGTTTACAGTAAATGTGGGCTTTAACTGAAAATGTCATTCTTATTTTAGATGCAAACATATCATAACTATAGGGTTTTAACAGCTGTGTGCCTCACAAATAGACCCCCCAAAAATAAAACATATTATATGATTCAGTGTTGGTAAAGAGATGCACACTATCATTACAGAGTTCCCCTGTGAAGCATCTGTCCCATGAGGACTACAGGTGGAATAGCTTACTTTTTTTTTTTAACAACAGACACTCTAGAACAACAAAGCTTTTAAACAAGGAGTCTATGTACGTTTTATTTACACATATAAAAATAAATAAATAAATAAAAATGCCCTGTCTATTTTTTGTCCTTTCTAGTGTCTTTTTATTATTTAATTTTTTTAGAAGCACTGCCTTATGCATATATAACTTATGATTCTTGGACTAAAAAAGTGATGTAGCTTTAATGACCATTTCTCTCTGATCCTTAAGAGTATATAATTTTGGGAGTCATTCATTCCCAGAGGAAGAATTTTCTTAACTTATAATGTTCATTCTCTAAAATGGAGAACCTGAACTGGATAAATTCTAATTTCACTAAAACTAGAAATATGATTTTAGACGACTCCAAACTAGTCTGTTTTATGTGCTGTGTCTAGCTTTGTAGGATTTTCATTTAAAGAACTGCTTTGTTTTCTATATAGGTCACTTTCACTTAATCACCATTGGCAACCACTCAACCATGTGCTACTTTCAAAAGCATCTCATTTCAAAACATCTTATGTCAGATCAGATCTCTCATTAACAGACAGCCACTTGTTTGATATAATGAAAATAGAGCCAGAATTAGATGTATTGCTCTCCGTGAGTACTTGTGCATTGACAAATGATATGGATCTCATAAATAGACAGAAAGATTTACATGAATCAGTCTATCTATCTATCTATCTATCCTATTTTATCACACTTTTTTCAGGTAATCAGGGTGAGTAGCCTATTTCCTCTAAACTGAATGAGAGAGCATGTGGAGTTGAGAATGCCAAATATATTTGAATGAAGGATTAGTCATGCATTAATTTTGATTTTTGTTCTCTTTTCCTAGGAGCCTATGCAGATACAGGCATGCAGGCTGTGTAATGGGAAAGGATCTGTGCTGCCATCACTAATGTCATGAGCAGGATCCCAGACTGGGGCCACCCTCAGCTGTAGCTTTGCTTCTGTTTTGTCCCTGTGAGAAAGACGCCTCACCCCAGGTTTGCTCCAGCGGACTATCTTTGCAATTAGCTCACTGGGAGACACTCTGAATAAAAAGCCACTGCCAAATAACAAGTAACTTACAGACTGCCTCTGCCTCGTTTTAATTGATAATCATAGTGTCTTTATAACATGTTTTTGCGTTCTGAGTTTTGTTTTTGCTGTACAATAAGAGCAATGTTGTGTCTGAGAATTCACCTGCTGGGAGACCCGGAGGAAAAAACCTCCACATTAACCTGCTGTGTACATGCAGAATAGGATATGCCATTGCAACTGTTTCCCCATAGGGTGAAAAACAGCACGTCCCTGCAGGCCGCTAGCTGAGTCAGCCTCCCATCACATCTGCCAGCTGTGCCACCCCAAGAGACTTCATATGGGTGATTAGAATTCAGTATACTTGTTTTTATAAGTTATCAGTGTTTTTAAAAAATAGCACCAGCAAGCAACAGAATAGCAAATTGGTGTACATACATATATAGGCCTAACAAACCATGGTGTTCTTTGAAATACCATGGTGGATGAATATGGTAATCATTCAGTATTTTACAAGCATGTAGTAAAACAATACAGAAGGTACCATACATATGAATTCAGTAGTTTGGTAACCTTATAGTGCAATTAAAATTGAAGCATGGTCATCTGGTAATCTGCTTAGTATCTAATGTAAATATTTAGAGAAATCTTTTAACTTCAAGCAGGGTGTTAATACACTACTGTTCAAAAGTTTGGGGTCATTTTTGGAAAGAAATTCATTCTTTTATTCAGAAAGAATGCATTCAATTGATCAAAAGTTACAGTAAAGACATTTCTAACATTACAAAAGATTTGTATTTTAAGTAAATTAAACTTTAAATAATCATGAAAAAATGTATCACAGTTTATATTAAATATTAAGCAGCACAACCATTTTGTTTAAACATTGATAATAATAATAAATGTTTCTTGCTCAGCAAATCAGCATATTAGAATAATTTCTGACGGATCATGTGACACTGAATATTGAAAATTCAGCTTTGCATCACAGGAATTAATAACATTTTAAAATATATTAAAAGAGAAAACTGTTATTTTAAAATCACAATATTATACTGTTTTTGGTGTATTTTCAATCGTATTTTCAATTGTTATGTCTTGTTGAGTAAAAAAGTTACTTATTTATTTTAAATTACGGACTAATTTAGGGGAAAAAATTATTTCTACAATTTTGCATTCATGATAATGGGTGGTAATTTAGAGGTTAAAGAATATTTAACCCCTGAGAATTGTAGTACAACGCAGTGTACCGCAGTGAACCCTAACCCTAATTCTGTAATACTCGATTCTAATTGGTGAATCACACCAATCAAGCAGTGTATACGATCAGGCATAACATTATGACCACCTTCCTAATATTGTGTTGGTCCCCCTTTTGCAGCCAGAACAGCCCTGACCCGTCGAGGCATGGACTCCACTAGACCCCTGAAGGTGTGCTGTGGTATCTGGCACCAAGATGTTGGCAGCAGATCCTTTAAGTCCTGTATGCTGCGAGCTGGGGCCTCCATGGATCGGACTTGTTTGTTCAGCACATCCCATAGATGCTCAATTGGATTGAGATCTGGGGAATTTGGAGGCCAAGTCAACACCTCAAACTCGTTGTTGTGCTCCTCAAACCATTCCTGAACCATTTTTGCTTTGTGTAAGGGCGCATTATCCACTTTTGATAGATACTGACCACTGCGGACCAGAAACACCCACAAGAGCTGCAGTTTTGGAGGTGCTCTGACCCAGTCTTCTATAGCCTTCACAATTTGGCCCTTGTCAAACTCGAACCAATCCTAACGCTTGCCCATTGTTCCTACTTCTAACACATCAACTTTGAGGACAAAATGTTCACTTGCTGCCTAATATATCCCACCCACTAACAGGTGCCGTGATGAAGAGATAATCAGTTTTAATCACCTGTCAGTGGTCATAATGTTATGCCTGATCGGTGTATGTATGTATGCATGCACCACCCTGCAGTGCAGTTCAGATTTTATTTGGGGAACAATATAGTCTATTTCATTTAATGGTACCTCATCTGATACCATCTGTTTGAAACCTAATCATGACATCTGGTGTTGGCAGCTTATTGTTGTTTTCATGCGTACCTTCACAAATTCCATATTCATTTCTGCATTGAACTGATTTGATCTTCCACAGCCACTGAGAAAATCATGTAGAACACTGACACACAACCAACCATGCTCCGGGAAAATACTTGATGTTTAATGGCTCTTCTGCAGTGGATGGAGAGGTGACCTGAAATACACCCTCAGCAGGAAGCTCTCAGAGTGGAGAGGGCAAATGAGTCCACGAGCTTCCAGCTGCTTTCCTGTCATAAGCAGTAAGGTTCGTATTGGCAAGTTCTTTACTTTCCCTGGATATATTGAACTTAAAATGTACTCTTTAAAGGTATAGTCCACCCAAAAATGAAACTTCTTTCATGTTATTCCAAACGTTGCTTATAGCTGAATTGTTTTGATGGATTTAACTGTATGCATTTCGTTCTTCTGTGGAACATAAAAGAAGATATTTTGAAGAATGTTGCTAATAAAACTGAAAAACGGTTTCAGTTCCCTTTGACTTCCATTGCGTGGACAAAAAATACAATGGAAGTCAATGGGAACCAAAACTATTTGATGCTTCAAAGTATCTTTTTTTTCATGTTCCACAGAAGAAAGAAACACATACAGCTTTGAAACTACATGATTGTGAGTAAATTATGATATAGATTTTTTTTTTTTTTTGGTGGACTATCCCTTTACGTTTTTTGACCTGATCAGCAACCCTGTAAAGAACTTCCAGTAAACTAACTATGGAAAGGATGGCACATTTCACT